CACACACTCGCAGCGGTATCTGACGTGCACACACGCCATGCACACATGATTTCCGGAAGAGCAACCTTGTCCTCTGTAAGCTCCGTTCGGTAGCTCCTCCATCCAGCAGCCTCCCGAGCCTCCCCTTTCCAGGCTACATCCACGTAACAGCAGAATTGCTTCATGCCAGGGACATCTGTCTGTCCGCATGTCAGGGCTTGGGGACAGCTAGAGGAGACCCCAGATCCTGGATGCCTGGGCCAGGCTGGAATGACCTGGTTGGCAGGGCAAACTGGCAGGTGTGGGCTTCTCCTCTCTGTTCTGCTGGGGGTGGGAGGGAGGGGGGCTCTCCAGCATGGCAGGCGTAGGGTAACAGGGCCTCCTCCATGCTGTTGCAGAGTCCCGGAGCAGTGTCCTGGGACCCGAGTTAGACGCTGGTGAGATCCATTCAGTGACAATCACTCCTGGCAACTGGCCGGGCATGTCAGGGAGGCCAGCTGAGGCTCTGGCCGGCAAGGGGCTGCCCCTCTGCTGGGAGGTGCAGAGGCCCGCGACACCTCTGGTCTCTTCATCCCCTGCCTGCCTCCTGGATGCATTTCCCCATCTCACCGAGAGCTGTGGCAGCGATTTGTTGGTGTGTTTGTGTTGCTTCCTCCTGTTCTATGTCTATTATTTAGGTTGCCTCTGAATTCTGGTTCCTTTTGTTTTGTGCTTCTCCTCAAAGGAGGATCTGTGGCACTGTGAGCCTGGGGGGAAGGGGAGGGGGCTTCACCAAGGCCCCTGGAGCGAGGCTCACAATGTCCACAGGCTTTGACGTGGGTGACCCGGTGCCTCCTGAAGCTCACATCCACACAAGAGCTCAGAACCCCCATCCTGGAAAGAGTCCTTCCAGACGTGGCAGGCGTGTGGAGACGGAAATGCTCAGGGTTACAGTGGGCTCCAAATCCAGCAGCTGGTACAAGAGGAAGAAGAGGAAGGCCTGACATCCAGGGCACAGGTGGAGATGGAGTCGGAGGGGCGATGTGACCACACGCCAGAGACACGAGGAGCCACTGTGGCTGGGACAGGCGGTGGACCCCTGCTCTCCCCTGGAGCCTCCAAAAGCAGTCAGCACTGACCCGATGTTGGACTTCAGGACCCCTGCCCTCCTCTGGAGCCTCCAAAGGCAGACAGCACTGACCCGATGTTGGACTTCAGCCCCCGGCACCATGAGGACACCCTGCGTTGGGCAGCAGCAGCCACAGGGCTCCTAAGGAAGAGGATTCAGAGGGCAGCCAGCCTCTCCCAGCCGCGCCTGCTGACTGCGGCGGGGGTCCCTCCCAAGGTGCCTCTTTACCTCATCTGCTTTCTAGAAGTTCCGTCCAGGCTGTGTTTGTGCTGTGTGGCCCCGAGCTGTGCAAGTTGAGCTCCTGGAGCCCTGCATGGGGTCCTGGGGTTCACACGGGAGGATGAGAGCCTGGACCAGTCTCACATTCGGAAGCCACCACCTGCATCCCAAGCAGGGCCCACACTCACCGCTGTCCAGGGTCCAGCTTTCCTCAGTCTCGGGCACCCCCTCCCACTCTGCCCGTCCGTCTGGCTGGGGTCTGCTCTCTGGCTGCCAGTTGCTCGCGTCCCCGTCACCTTGCTGGGGCTTCCAGAAGGCAGATGAGGACACCTTGGCGGTTCGATCCTTCGTACCAGGCTCACAGCAAGTGCCCACTCTCTCAAGGGCAGCTATGACACGTGGCTCTCCTGTGTCCTGGCCTTCCGCACGTGCCTCTTTGAGCATGTGGGGTCCCCGGCTGCCTGGACTGAGGGCCGAGGGCCGGGGCAGAGGTGCTCAGTGGCTCCTCACCAGTGGGAGACTCGACCATCTCTCTGCGTGGCTCTGCTATGGTGCGGCCCTTGGACCACAGGACCGGAGGATGCGGAGGCCCCATGGCCCAGCTCTCTCTGTTTTCCTGGGACCAACCCTGCTCATCTCCAAGCTCGGGTCTCCAAGTTCGCGTCCCCGAGCTCGGGGGAAGCTGCGGGCCCGGCTCCAGGTGCTAGACCACGTGGCAAGCCAACAGGCTAGTCTTTCTGCAGCAGTGCCGTCCTGTCCTGTGAACAATGTTCAGTACCTCAGATCCCAGGGCGCCCCCCGGCAGGTGGAGGCGCAGACTGCCCGGCCCAAGTCTGCAGCCAGTTCGAGGCACGATGGGAGGAGAGGCAGCAAGTCAGACCACTCTTGGCTGGGCTTCCAGGTGTGCATCAGACCTGGCCATCCTTCCAAGCACCAGGTCTAATGGGGTCCCTGGGGTGGCCCAACACAGCACACTGCATGCTGGGAGTAAGTTGGACCGTTTATCAGACCAGCTGGTGTCTGGCAGGCCTGTGATCTGCTCCCAGGGAAAATGTTTACAGTGTCAGGAGCTTCCACACAGCTCTGGCTCCAACTCTCTAGAGGCTCCAGGAATCTTCCACTTGCCCCCCGCCCCATGACTATGCATCCCAGCAGACAGGATTAAAATGTGGTGCTTAATAGCTAATTGAAAAATGGATTCCAATCTAGCTGATGTATTCTGACTTAGGAGATGGTATGGCTCATAGACGAACATCTTACAATCCATAAACATTACAGAAATGTGCAAGCACTGATTAGAATATTTCTGAAAGACACTCAGAACGCATGGAGTACACAGACCCAGCTGGTGAGCATCTGCACAGAGATCTCTTCTGGGACAGCTGTGGGGCTGGAGTTCCTACCTGGAAGTTCCTGCCTGGCGCTCCCTGTCCTGTGTGCTCTGTTCCAGGGCTGATGGCAGCCAGGGGGAGCCAAGGGGCTGAGGGAGGGATGGAGACCGACCACCTCCAGGAAGCAGGGTCCACACTTGGGCGTGTACCAGGACCTGCTGCTCCCTGGACCTATCATGTCCACCGGGACCAAACTGCCCTGTGCAGAGAGCTGGATACGGTGCCACAGCAGCCCAGGAGAGAGGCTGCAATACCAGCCAAGAGTCCCACTGTTTTCCTAAAGGTCCCCATGGACTCCTCACGTTCCATGGGACACACAGTGACACATAATCCACATGCTAGTGTGCGTACATGCCTGTGTATGAATGTGCACATATGTGTATGTGTGCACCCATGTGTATGCAAACGTGTATCTGTGTGCAGATGCATGTGCGTGCGTGTGCATGTGTGTTTTGTTAAATGGCGCTCACCCTGTGACCTGGGAAGCACTCTAGTAATTTTATTCTGTGTCTTCTCCTTTCTTCTAAATGCTGATCATGAGCCACTAAATTAATTTCGCGACCCACTAATGGGGTGCTGACCCGCTCTGTGCAAAGCACTGATCTTGGAAGTACAAACATCAGCATGAGCCTGGGGTCAGGGTTTGGTTAATCAATTAATCCATTTATCACACATAGTTATGCAGGCCCTGAGAGAGGCAGGGATGCCCTGAGAGAGGCAGGGATGCCCGGAGCCTCTCCTTGACCAGCCTCTACTGTGAGGGTGCACGGAGGTGTGCGGGCACTGGGGGGCGTGGCTGTACCCCAGCAGGGGGCAGGGGGCCTAACCTCGGGATGGAGCACTGGAAAAGAACTCTCAGATACCACGTGATTGCCGGGCTCTTAAGTCTGTTGGTAAGAACACCATCATCTCCAAAGGCCAATTTATGGCAACAGGTGAAACTCCGGGACACTAATTCACTCTCAAAGTGATGCAATCAAGTTCCAATGTGATGGTGGCTGGCTCAAGAGATCGACAGATGGTTTTAGACAGCTGCAAACAGGCCGCCTTGGGCCGGGGATTCCAGTGGAGGCTGAGACCCTGCCATTCCTCCCCGAGGCCTCCAGAGACCCTCCAGGGGAGCGCTGTGCACACAGTACCACACCACAGAGCTCTGCCATGAGGATGGAGTGCAGAGCCCTGCCTGAGGTCCAGCAACACCCCCTACCCACCCATCTAGACTTGATCTGCCCTGAGGATGTGGAGCCCGCTGGTGGGGTCTCTTTGTGGCCTGGCACGCTGGGGGAGGGTGCTTCTCAGGGTGGGTCCATGCATGGGTGGGGGGGCTTGCCTGATGACCTTATTTATACTCCAAAACCAGGGTCCACAGATCTTATAACAGCGAGCCTGTGCTGAGAGACGGAGACTGACCCACACGTGGAGGTATGGCTGGCGAGGTCTCTCTGGGGCTAAAGCAGGGACGAGAAACCAGTCAGAGGTGGTGGTGCACAAACCAAATGCACAAAGTACCTCTGCAGTGCGTGGTGTGAGGCAGGCGTGAGTGCTCTGCAGTGTGTGGTGTGAGTGCTCTGCATTACATGGTGTGAGGCAGGGGTGAGTGCTCTGCTGTGTGTGGTGTGAGTGCTCTGCAGTACATGGTGTGAGGCAGTGTGTGGTGTGAGGCAGGCGTGAGTGCTGCCTGCATCTCTCTGCTGATTCCAGAAGCCTCCTTGTCGGGTTGAAACAAGGCCGTCCCACATAGCTCTGGTCTGCCTTGGGGAGTGGCTGCCCCATGGTGTCCCAATCCTCTCTTGCACAGCAGGACTGTGTCCAGCCCGGGCCACCTTCTGTCCACGGCCAGCCCTGACACAGCCTTGCTAACAGCTCACCTTGCCACCCCAGTGCGCTCAGCGGAAACCAAGGCGGGTGTACAGAGCTGGTTTTGGGGCAGGGAGGGGGCGGCTGGCACGCCAGGGCTCTTCCCAGGATCGTGTTGGGACACGGAGGAGTTTGGCAAGGGTAATGATGACAGCCATTCCTGGCCACTGAAGGGGACACTTGCCTGCAGTGGCCAGGGCACGAGTCTAGAAATTTCTTTCAGAAAATGAATCTCCAAGAATGGCCCAAAAAAGCAACCAGAGCCCCAATGCACACTCAGTCTCGTGCATCTCTGAAGACAGGCTTTCGGGAACGTCGCTCCAGGTGACGCAGGAAGACAAGGTTGGCCGCAAAGGGCCGCAGACCTGCCACAGCTGCCTGGGGGCGGGACTCCGACGACGCAGCCCACCCTCCCCAGTCACCCCAGGAAGGAAGGGGCCACTCACCGTGGTGGTCTTTATCCGCCCACCGGGCAGTGTGCATGTCCAGCCGGACCGGTTGATGAGCAGGTCGCAGCCCTCCCCCTCCAAGCAGGGGAGCATGTCACACCACTGCTTCGTCTTGATGATCCGCGCTGCGGGGAGAGGAGAGAGGGTGGTCAGTGGGCTGCTCACCTGGATTCACGGACGCTGCGGACAGTGCTCGCCGGCTAGGGGCTCGCTCTGCGAGGCAGGCCCTGCTATCTGCCATGCGTCACTGACCAGCCATGGCGACCAAGATGCAGGGGGCACATCCGCAGGCCAGTGGCCATGGCCCTGCCCCAAGGGGTGGTGGCTTGCTCTCTGACCTGTCGGGAAAGGGCACTAGGAGGGGTTTGGAGGTACCCACACGGCCGCACACAGGTTGGGACGAAGCCAACCGCTCAGCGCCGGTTTGGCGCAGTAGGAAACGGCACACTCTACCGCCAGCGTGCCTCATCCACACTGCAGACCCCGGCAGACCCAGGAGCGGGCCTCCCGAGCAGGCTGACTCCTGAGGCTAGAGATGGACCTGTGACTCCAGCTTGCAAGACTGGAGGGTCTCTTCTGTCCTGTCCACGAGTACCAGACCTATCGAGGCCCGTGTCACTTCCCGCAGAAGGCACAGGGGGACGGGAGCCCACACTTCTGTTCCCCCATCACACACTCGGCTCTGAGAGCAAGGAAGACGAGGACAAAGCACACAGCCATGCTGTCCCGGGGGAGAGCCCGGAACCTGACGCAACCCCAGGAACACAGCACTGGAGATCAGAAAGAGGAGACGTGAGCTCCGGGCTCCGACGTCACATGTCAGGGAAAAGGGAAGAGCGTGGCTCACGCAGCACCACCGCAGCCTGGCGGCACCACGCGCCAACACATGCAAGCCCAGGATGCACTCACACCCGTACACACCTCACACTCGTGCACGCTGGACACTTGCTCTCCATGTGCACAGTCACAGCACACCTCAATAGGTTCACATGTGCAGACGTGGTACACTATGCATGTACAAATGCACTTGTGTGTGTACAATACACGGTTCCACACGTTGTACGTGTGCCACACACTGGTGAGCGGTGCACTGCATGTATTACACAGGCAGGCTGTGCTGTGGGCGTGTCTGGCACACGCAGGCACAGGGAAGCACTTGCCCCACCCTGTCCCACCCCTGCCCAAGCGTTCCCGGGGGACCAGCCCTCAGGGGACGCGAGGCCAGCTCAGGGCACACACAGTCCTTTGTCTCTTTGAGGGAGCACGGCTCACCCTGCCCCCCCACCCTGGAAAATGATGGGAACAACAGTGCCAGGCCACCACGTCCACAGCCCCAGGACAAAGGGGCCTTTCATACCCACACCGCACAACTCCATCTTGCCCGGGCACGGGCTGCAGGCCCCGCCTCTGGGCTTGATGTGGAAACAGCCCTTGGAGGAGAAGGGCAGTGCCAAGGACTAATAGAGGAGGGGGAAGAGGAGGTGGAAAGGGGGGAGGAGGGAGGGCAGTGCCAGGGACCAGCATTCCTCTGCAGGGCACGCATGGCAGCCCCGGGAGGAAGGGAGCTGCACCCACCACGGCACGGGGCAGACTGGACAAGACCCGGCAGCCGAGGGCCACAGCCAGGGTCGATGCCGGCACAGCTCCATCGCCACCCCACACGCTCGCCCACAGTGGCATCGGGCGCCGCACACGGGTGTGCTCCCGTCACACCTGCATCACACACACAGCTCACACCCACACCACACATGCACCCACACGCACAACTGCACACACACTACCGTCACACCATACGGCCCACGGGAATGCACACGCACACGACACACGTGTCCACACGCATGTCCACAGGACACATTGGCATCCCACGCTCCACACACATGAACACACCCATGTACACACACATGCATGAACACAGGGCACGTCCACACACACCTCCACAGGGTCCACTCTTGAGCCCTTGATTCTGGCCTTGCACGGCAGTGTCACACGCCGGCAGTGGTCACCGTGTCCATGGCTTTCTGTGGAGTGGCCTCCTGCGTTCACCGTCCCTTCCTCCCCGGGTGCCATGCTTCATCCACCACCTGGGACAGGGCGGCCACTGCAGCCAGTGAAGACACAGCCTCCCGGGGAAGGAGAGGTGCGGAGACTGCGTGGCCTGTCTTCCCAGGAAACGGTAAACGCGGGGCTCAAATTCTCACCTTAGAGATGTTTGGGCTCCGAGGCAATTTGTGAAAAGGCTGATCTGCCATAAATGTCTGGGCAACCCTGAATGGTGTAGGAGACGGACCAGGATGGCCATGGAGTGAGGAAGTGTGGCAGAAGGGCAGCTCGGATGAAGGACGCCCAACAAAGACGCGGAAGGGAAGAGCCGCTTTCCACTGGAGCAGTGCTGCGGTGCCCACCACCACCGGCTGATGCGCCCTGGAGGGGAAGAGCCGCTTTCCACTGGAGCAGCGCTGCGGTGCCCGCCACCACCGGCTGATGCACCCCGGAGGGGAAGAGCCGCTTTCCACTGGAGCAGCGCTGCGGTGCCCGCCACCACCGGCTGATGCACCCCGGAGGAGACAAACAGTAAGTCAACTCTGGGCCTTCACCTGCTGCCGGCTTAAAGCTCGGTGGGCATTCCCCCTGCCCGAGCTGCCACAGCTTTAGTGTATGCCATTAAGTTTCCCACTAGCTTTGCAGTAGGCAGCAGCTCTGCCCTGTGAGTGGCGAGGTCAGAGCCGTGCCTGAAAGCTCCACCTACCCACTGGAGCCGCACATGCCCGAGGGCGAAGAATGTGGGGCGAAAGGCTGGGCACCGCCGATGGCACACGGGGCCTGTGCCCTGGGCCGCCCACCCCATGCCGGACGCCGCTCGGCTCTGCGTGTGGACCTGTTGGTCTGTCCAAGACAACAGAAAATAGGGGCCACCTCCCCGGGAAGCTGGCGTTCCATCCACTCCACCATGTGCTTTTGACCTAGCCTAAGGCCCACACCAAGCCACAGGGCCGAGACTTCTGTGCAAGATGAGCGTGTCAATGAGAGAAGGGACTCAGCAGCTCCCAGTGAAGTCACTGCCCATCAGCCTGCAAACCTCAAGGCCAGGGCGATTGTGCACAAGCAGAAACATCTTCTGAAGTAGTGCCCAAGACGAATGGATAGTTGCCAAACCCTCAGCCCATCCCTGGTCAGCGGTCAGCAGCCTGGCCCCTCTCCAGCAGCGCAGGCCTCCTCCGGAAGACCCCCCTGCCCCCAACTCAAGCAGCAAGACTGTCTTTACAGTTGTCTTCGTCTCATCGCTCTGGCGAGAAGGCAGCCGCAGGACCGGGACCCCACATCTGATGAACTCTGAAGGTAGGGTGCAGTGGCCGGGTCACCCCAGACAGGGGCACGCGCAGGTGCCCCAGCAGGAGCCGGCCACGCGGTGCCCTCCCGGCCACGCGGTGCCCTCCCGGCCATGGCTGGCTGCTGCCCCGCCCACTGAAGGCGCACAGGCCCGAGTACGGGTGGCAAAGGGAGAGCCCTTGCTGGAGGCAGCAGGCCAGCCCGGGCACTTCCCCAGGTTCCCCCACTCCAGGAAGGAGCCGGGTCCTCCAGCTCCACGAGCCCAGTGCTCCCACACGCACCCACATCACAGGTCCCCGAGAAAGGCTCTGTGGCTCACACAGGAGACCCCGCCAAGGACACAGATGGGCCACCCACTGCACCCTCTGGCCAGCCTGTGCTGGGGATGAAAGTCAACATCTGCAAAGGGTGGGGGGGGGGGAGAATCTCAAATCTCAGGACTTCAGGCTGTTTTGCCATACGGGCAGGACTGCACGTTTTAATGACTGAGGTGAAGTGTTTCTTGCCATCAAGTGTGTCCTGAGAACCATTCCCCATCTCAGAGAAGTTCTCATTCAGCATGCGCCAGGAAATGGTCCAGAGGGGACATTTTACTTCCGAAACGCGGTCCCCTCGGCAGCGTGTAGGCAACGGCGTGTGTGCCCACGGGTGTCCCTGCATTCCATCCATCTGACCCTACGCGCTTCAGGCAGGAAGGGCGGATGCCTGCCGTTCCCCGCAGGGCAGCGGGAGCCAGGCTGAGGAGGTGGAAGCCAGGGCGGCCCTCCCACTCCCTGCCTGCAGCAGTTCATTCGTGGTAAGTGCGGCAGTAAATATGCACTGAAGATTCTTTCTGTTCCTAGTCCCGGCAGTAATTGGATTATATTCCCATTTAGAGCAGCTCCTGTCAGGCTGGGAGGCAGAGCTGTCCACATGTGAAGGAGGTGGCTCGGAGGAGTTATCAGGAACCTGCTATTAAGCAGGCCTTCTGGGATGGCCCCGGGTTAAATAGAAGGTGTGATTACAACAAACAAAGCCATGGGATTATTCGCAGGATTTCGCGCAGCACGCCCCTCTGGGTGTGGGAAAGGCGTCACTAAATCCGACCAAAGGAACTGGGTCCCGGGCAGGTAGACACTCTGCCCCAGCCCTGCTCCCAGCGCGGTGCTTCTGGAAACATCTGCCTTGAAAAATGAATGCTGTAAATTTCAGTTTTATTGGTGTTTCAGTGTTGTGTGTGCTTAATCTGTAGATGGGTTTCAGTTCATTCCTTCCTAACAGCTGGCAGGAGGGGCAGGGGGGCTGGACTCTGGCAAGTGCTCACATTCCTGCCACACTGCGGTAAAACCTGGCCGGTCCAGCGGCGGGCACCGGAGGGGTGCCCCCCCCCCCCCCCCGCCTCCCTCAGCTTCCAGGCTTTCTCCAGTACTTAGGTGTGAGCGGTGCTCTGGGCAGCTGCCTGCCGCCAGGTGGCTCAGTGGAGCCCCCAGCGAGAGCTGGGCCTGCTGGGGCAGCCTGGGCCGCCACAGGACCCGCCCAGAGACGCCTCCCTAGGAGAGAGGTCACGGTACCACCACACACAGCCTGCAGGAACAGAGCTGGACTGCAGCCTGGGACAGAGAAGGGCTCAGGAGGGGACCCGAAGCCTAGAGAGCCGGGACAGCAGTCAAGTCGGCCAGCCTCTCCTGGCCACACCACTGGGCTCCGGCCTACATGCTCAGGACTCCAGACGCCAGCACTCAGAACCCACGGCATCGGGTAGAACTTAAGCCCCAGTACTAACATAAAACAACAAGAAAACGAATAAAACTCCAAACAT